CTCCCTGCCGCTCGGTTCCACTCCTCCACCGCCCTCCTGCCCCTTCCACCGCCATGTTCCTGCTCCCGGTCCTCAGAAGTCCTCCGCCTCCGCCTCCCCCATCCTCCTCCTCGTCCTGATCCTCCTCCACCTCTTCCTCGTCCTCGTGCTCATCCTCGCTCTCGTCCTTCTCCTCTTCCTCCTCCTCGTCCTCCTCCTCCTCTTCCTCCTCCTCTTCCTCTTCCTCCTCCAGGTGGCTCGCGGCGGGCCATCGCCGTTTTGCCCCGCGGCGGGCACGGAGGCCCGCGCGCGATAGCCCCCAGCGCCGCCTGAGGGCCGGGCGCGACCGACGGCGGACTCCGACTGCAGGGGGCGGTCGAGGTCGCCACCGTGGCACCGCCGCCTGCGCCGCCTGCGCTCGCAGGCGCGGAGGCGTCTCCAACATCAGCGCGACGTCTCGCGTCTCGCCGTGCATCACGGCAGCGTGCCACCGATGCATGCGACAGCAGGGGCACAGGCGGGGCGCGGGGGCGCACCTCGCCTTTGGGCGTGCCAGCACTGCGGCAGCCGCAAAAACGAGGGGTGGTGGACCTGGTGCGGCCACTGCAAGAAGCCTGTCCTCGTCCAGGCTCGTCCTACTGGTGGTGGCGGCGGCGGCGCACATCGCGACCAGAGACGCCCACCGAGCCGCGACCGTGACGGCGGCCGTGGCTGCCCACCCTGGCGCGGGCGACAGGCGGTGCCTCGGCCAGCGCACGCTCGGCGTCTGGGAGCCGAGGCGCAGGCAGCCGCCGAGTGCGCTTCTCCAGCGCCCTCGCCCTCGTGCCAGCGGACGAAGGCCCAGAGGAGTCAAAACTCGTCCAGCTGGTGGAGCTGCTCCGCCTCAGCGGCGACGGGCCCGAGGTCGCCAAGTACCAAGCGAAGCTGGATGAGGTCAGGGCTCAACGCGTGGCCAGGCCCATGCCCGTGGACGAAGCATGCAAGGCCAAGGAGGCAGCGGCGGAGGCGTTCCAGGAGGCCACGCTGGAGGCTGAGGCAGAGCAGCGGCAGCTGGATGAGACCAAGGCCCGCGTGGGCGAGCGCTCCGAGGTCCTCGATCACGCCACCCAGGCGCACACGGCTGCGGTGCATGCGTTGGCTACGTCTGTGGCGCCCCAGCCCTCGCCAGGCGCCGCCACCGTGCCGCGCCTCAGCATATCCGCTGTCCTGGCTGGCGAGACGGCTTGGGCGCTGGACGACGAAGGCCTCCTCGGCTTGGAGGAGCTGGACGGCTTCGAAGTCGAGGGGAGCGACCGCCAGGAGGCCCAGAGGCGCCGACAGGAGCTGCAGGACAAGTTCGGCAGCATGGCGCGCGAGGCCTTCGGCCAGTTCAAGGCCTCCGTACAGGAGCTCGAGGAGGCGCGCCGAGGCAGCGGGACCGCCTCAGGGCGAAGAAGCGCAGAACCGCGGAGGCCACCGAGGACGGAGGCGCTGCTGCCGAGCGGGCACCTGCAGCAACGGCTGCAGCCGCCGCCGCGAAGCCACGGGCGCCCGCGGCGGTGCGGGCGCCCCCGCCAGCCGCCGCGGCGACGCCACAGGCGCCCGCGGCGGCCCCTGACGTCATGGAGCAGGGCCGAGCTCGACTGGCAGCAGCGGGGAAGGGCGCGGGCGGGCCGCCAGGCCAGGCAGGCACCCCCGCGGCTGGCGCCAAGGGCCTCGGGCGCGGCGGCGGCACTTCGGCCGGGGCCGCGCGACGGTGCCTGCCATGCTCCTCGCGAAGCACGCGGCGGATAATCAGGGACTGGGAGTCCCTGGACGACGGCTGCGGCTACAACCGCATGAACTACTACGGGCTGGGCGGCTACTCAGGGGAGCGCGAGGCCAGCTGCAATGACGACTACAACTACGGCAACACGTCGGCTCTCGGCTACTCAGGGGAATGCTACGACGTCGACTGGCCATCAACCGCGAGGTCGCCCCCCCTCGGCCCCCCTCGCCAGCTGTCAATGCGAGGGGGGGCAGCGAAGAGGGTAAAATTAGGGCCATGTGAGAGCTCTTCTGTGTCAACGCCCCGCTCGTCGGCATCTGCTTGGGCAAGCCCCTGCCCGCCTTCTCATCCCCGCAGCGCGTGGCCCTCTTCGGAGGTCGGGCCGCCTCGGGGCCACCGCAGCGCGTGGCCCTCTTGGGAGGTTGAGCCGCCTCGGGGGGCCGGCCTCCCGAAGGAGGATAATGGGCAGGGAGCGTCGGCTGCTGGGCGCTGCGCTGGGCCCTCGGCAACCCTGGGTGACGGTGAGTCCCACCCTGCGGGAGGCGCGGGCCCGTCGGTCGGTGCGTCCTTCTACGAGAGGCGTGGACCCGACTGCCCAGAGGTGGCCAACGCTGCGGGTGACGGAGTGTCTCTCCCTGGCGGAGGCGCGGACCCTTTGGTCGGCGAGTCCCTCTGCGCGAAGCGCGGACCCGACTGCCCGGCAGCGGTGGGCGCGGGGCCGAGGCAGTCGGCATCTCTGCGGCCGCGCAGCTACAAGGGCGATGGCGACACCCTGGCCGCCATGACGGTGAATGCCACGTGCTGGGGCGCCTGCCTGGCACAGCTGGAGCAGGCCATCCTCATCCAGGAGCATCGCCTGTTCGACGACCCACGGCTGGCAGCAGCCGGTCGAGCAGCCAAGCGAGCGGGATGGGTGGCCGACCTCACCCCCGCTACTGCGACGGACAAAAGTGGAGCATCCTCAGGAGTAGGAATGTTGGTGCGCCCGTGGGTGCGCACGAAACGCGTCGAATTCAGTGATGACCGCATTTCGATTCGTTGTTCTGCCCGCGTGGATTTTTGGATGACATCGTTGGGAACGGCTGAGGGCACCTTGCTGATCTCGGCGTATTTCCACACCAACCAGGACCTGTGCGACTTAAACCTGGACCTGCTTACCAATTTAGGCTCGGTCGTCAGGGCCATGCACCGCCCCTTTGTCGCGGGGGCCGACTGGAAAATGCTGCCCGAGGTCGCGGGCGAGGCTCACCTGCTCCCCGCGCTTGGCGCGCGCCTGGCCTGTTCGGGGGAGGCCACGTGCATCGCGGCTACATCTGCGAGGGAGCTGGGCTACTTCTGCGTGGACGCGGACGCGCCCATCAAGGGCACCAGCCGTTGCGACCGCCTCGATGCGCGGACGCACCGTGCGGCGCTGCTGCAGCTGGCCTCGCCGAAGCCAGGCGGCCTGGCGACGCGCGCGCACAAGGCCCGAGCTTTCCCAGCCCAGACCTTGATGGGGCCTCAGCTTCCAGGCCCTGGCTAGACCGACGTCCACGGCGACCTGGCCACGGTGGCCACGGCAGCAGGCTTGGAGGCAGCCCGTGCCAGGGCCCTGGACACAGGCGAAGATGAGCTGCTGCGGAACTTCGACCTGGAGGGCGCCCGCGAGGCAAGCAGGTTCTGCGGCAGGAGCGAGGGCCCACGCCTTGTCCAGACCCAGCTGGGCCGCCACCGCTCCAGCAGCTGGCAGCCCACGGCTAAGCCAGACCCCGTCGGATGCACATTGGGGCTGTTGGGCGATCGGGCGCAGGAGTGGCGGCTGCTGCAGGCGGCGGGGCAGGCCGCCCATGCGCGGCGGGGCAGGTGTAGCTCCTGCGTTTCAAGCCGCCTGTCCCTGGCGGCGAACCTGCGGCGTGGCGCGCCTGGCGGCGGCTGGCGAGGCGTTTACACCGTCTCCCCGATGGAAGTGATGAGCTGCTGGCTTTGCTTCGACGACAGGCCTTGGCGGCGGCAGGGCGCGCGCCGCACAGGCGCCACAGGTCCTGGCTCGACTGGGCGCGCGACGCCACTGCCGCCGAGGGCCTGCGCAGGGCCCCCCGCTGGATCTGCGAGCCCGCCCCATGGGCAGCGGCACGTTGGTCGCCCGCGGTGGGCCTGCAGACTGCGCAGGAGGCGGCCAGCGCGGCCACCCGCCCATGGCACGCCCCGTGGGGCGAGGGTGCTGGGCTGGACGCGATCAGCTGGCCAGCGGAGTCGGGCGACGGCCCTCCGCTGCCGACGCCCGACGAGCTGCGCGAGGTGGGCAACTCCTTCCCGCGCGTCACGGGGTTGGGAAGTGATGCATTCCAGCCTCGGCACGTCACCTTCCCGTCCGACGGCGCGCTGGAGGCCTTCGCCGCCGTCTGGAGGCACATGCTGACCCTCGGCTATGTCCCCAAGACGCTGGCGGCCCTTCAGATGGCGCTGATCCCAAAGGCCGAGTCGGGAGTCCGTGCCGTCGGGCTCTTCGCGGGAGCGCTGCGCCCCTTCGCGCGCTGGGCGCGCGGCGCAGTCGGCGCACGCTGGGCGCCAGCGCCCACCAGCGGGACTACATCTACGGCACGTCGGGTCGCAGCTGCAAGACGCGCGCGTGGATCCAGGCGGCCAATGCTGAGGTCGAGACTCACCGCAAGCAGGCGGCCTGCTCCCTGCTCATGGACCTCTCCAAGGCGCACGGGCACATCCCGTGGGCGCTGCTCGTCGCCCGATCCCGTGCACTGGGCTTCGAAATCTTGCTGGTGCGGCTGCTCATCAGGGGCTACGCCCTGCCGAGGCTCGTCGTCACCGTGGACGGCGCGGCGATAGGCTGGTGCGCCCCGCAGCGGGGCGCGGCGGCAGGCTGTAGCTTCGTGGACCTCTGCATGCGCATCTTCCTCGTGCCGCGGCTCGGCGAGATAGTGGCCCTCGGCGTCGTGGACCTGGGGGGCGCCGTGGGCGACGTCCAGCTCGGCAAGGTCGGGCGCCCCAGGCTGGCGGCGGCGATCGCCAGCTCGGCCTACAGACGGATTCGAGGCGCCCTGACGGCGGACGGGCTTGTCGCCAACGACGGCAGGGGCGTGGTGCAAACCAACATGTCTGCCTGCGGCCGCGAGGTCATGCGGCGACGCCGCCCCCTCCGCAGCGAGTTCAGGATCTCGGCGCGCAGCCCGGGCTTGGATTTCGCCAGCGGGCGCCGGGCTGGAGAGGGCACGCGGGCCAAGCGCGCTGCAACCGTGCCGCGCCGTGCCGCGTGCATTCGCGCGATCCGCGCTGCTCG